GGCCTCACTGAACAATGTCTCCATCATCACTGCCCAAGACTGAACACCAGTCTGGATGCACTGCTTGGGGCTGCAGTGCACCCATTAAGTTCTCACATTTTATCAAATAGATGCACTTCGTTACAAATGTTCAAGGATCATTTTTTTTCACCCAACAGACATCCAAAAGCCATTTTAAAGCCCTGAATGTTTCAGTACCATGCAAGTAAGTGTCAGCAATATTAATTCATCTACAATCATCCCAGAATATTATGCTAGGGAAGCACAGTACTTACACTGAAGTATTCTACTCTGAGGAATAAATATTCTAAATAATAAATGCTTAATGGCATTTTGGAGAGCAAACTGGAGTCCGAGATGGAAAAAACAGGGACACCTGTTCAAAGCCAGTTCCTTGTGAACATTTAAATTTCACCTGCATAACTATTTTTTTCCACAGTTCTGCATCATCATTTTTTTTATTTATTTATTTACATTTCCCACTAACCATTTAAGCAATTCCATCGAAATTGGGGATAAAATCAGCTGGTACCTATTTCACCAGCAAAATCAGCTGAGGTAGACTGCAACTGATTCTTTTAGAGCTAAGAATAGCTAGAGGGGCATTACATACAGGGAAAAAAAAACACCCAACTTTTAAAAATAGATGAGTTTTCTTTCAGGAGGGAAAAATCTCAACTAATTTGGCAGTAAAACCAGGGAATATGACAGCATGGTGAAAATCGAAGTGAAAAATTACTTTCAAGTTGGGAAAGAAGTGAAATTGTACTCTGCAAACTCGTTTTTTATTTGCAGAGTAACACGGTTTCTGTACTGTTTTCTGTATCATGATTTACAAATCCAAGGTAAACACAAACAACTGCAAAGACTTTACCCAAAGTAATTTTCATTTTAATGTGTCAAATCGATTGAAATTATCAGAAGTGGTCATAAGCTAACTGAACACATAGAGCAAGTTTGCATACATTAAACACAGCATACATTTTCCTTAGTACTTGCTTCTATGTCAGACTTTGCTTTACAAGACTAGAGCCAAATTCTGATGAAAATTTAGCAAAATAAACTTGGCCCACAATACAAGGATTTACTATTTTACTATCCAGTTAATGAATCACAATTATTCCTTAGTATATACAATTACACTGAATACCTTAACATTTTAAACCTGCACACTACTAACTACTCCAAATTACTAAATACATTTAAGGGAACGAAAGACATGAATGTTACAAATTACTCTACTGGTTCCAGACACATTTTAGAGGATGATAAAAGGGGAAAATGGAAGAGAAAATGTGAGAAAGAGACAACAAATGGTTGAACATATGCATTTATATGTAATACATGGATTTATTTACAATAAAGGATAACCAAAGATTCAAAAGAGCAAAATCCTGTAAAGAACTGAAGATACCACACAGAATTAAGAAGGGAGAAGTGAAAGGACAGGAACATAAGATCCAGTTAAGATTCTTATTATTTTAGAAAGAATGAGAATACAGAGGGGAGAGTGACTGATAAGCTTAAACCACAATAGCAGCCCAGTGAAAAACACTTATCATGTACTAAGTTTTTCCAAAAAACTTTTCTGTGTACTTCATCTTTGTAGTATCAGAGGTGATTGATGGAGAACATAAATGCATGGAATGAACAAGGTGTGGAAGAATTATTCTTAAATGTTGACAATGTTTTGAATCTGTAATTAATCAGCTTCACCAATATGTTTCTCCTGACAACTCTGAAATTTTATGCATTATGTGAAGAAACTGAAAGGCCTAAAACACAGTATCAGAGCTGGGCAGGTGTTAAAAAAAAACCTAAACAACCCTGGACTTCGGTTTATATTCCAGGCCATGCAACTGGCACTCCTGATGCTTTCAAAGAAACCTCCATATACAAATACCAAAGAGCTCCTTTTCCTCACAGCTATGTTTCTGGTACTGGGACACACAAAGTGTTAGGATAAGGATTTAATAAAAAAATAATATTGCGATTACATTTATTACATGCCATTGCTGTAATTTATATATAACATTAATATACCATATATTAAGACCATATGATCCTCCTAAAAAGAAGTGTTACTTTCAGATTTAAATTCATTAGATGCAAACCATTAATTGTTTTGTACTTTTTTCTTTTCTTTGTGAAACACTAAGGTAGAATTTTAGACATATTATGATGCCTAACAGAGGGGTACTATAGAAGAATTAATGTCACCAACATCATGACAGGAAATGAAAGTGTCACCTGAATGCAATGTGAAAGTGTTAAGAGCTTTTTTTTCCTTTTAAGCACAAAAATGCCCATGTATCTCTGCAGTTCTGGAAGTAATTCACGTGGGAATTTTGCACTCAAAATCTTTGAATTTTGGCTCACATGAGGACCAGCAGATAGGGGATGAAAAAAGTCTTAGGCTTGAACCACACAGAGCAATGAATAGGCCTACTCATTTGCTTAATTTAAGCATCTGCTTAATTTCCTGAACCCTCTATGCCATAGAAGAGTTTGAATAAAAATTCTAGTGGGTTCCAGATGCAAAGCTTAGAGGTAGTAAACAATCTCGGTAACTGAAAGCAAAAAGTTACTCTTAATTTTTAAACACAGTATCTCACACAATCCAGATAAAATAGAACTGCAGAAAAGCACATTTTATTTTCACTTGCCTGTAATGTCTCAGAGATCAGTGTATAGCCAACTGCATTTTCAATAGTTATGCTTTTTCCTTTTAATTATAGTCAAATCTCAATTACTTAAGATCTGCAGCCCAGATCCATGAACATTGTAAAGCAACTGCACTGTAGATGCTGATACACACAAAATACCTTCCCATGAGCTACTGTCTGGAATCACAGAAGTTCACACTAGGTGCCACAAAGGCTGAGATCATCACACCGTGTATCTCTAAACTGTACTGTCAGCTACAACACTCTGCCCTGCCCAGCATATAAAGATGCGATAAAAGCCTATTGTATGTTTTTACTCCCTTTTTTTTTCTTTTTTTTAAGCATGCTTTCTGATTAATCACTTCCAAACTTTTCCATCCTTAACCAAGCAGACCTGATATGTCACTCTACTCCACTCTGTGGATTAGAGAACCTCCTTAAAAGTGCATGTGGTCACATTGAACCCCTGGGTTCAGCATTCAGCCTGTGTTTTGGGAGTAAAATGTGCAGAAGAATGCTCTAACGGTAAGGCAAATAACAGAGCCAGAACAAGCATTGTCCTTCTTACTGAAAGTGCATGATGCCAGACCACTGCTGATCTCATACAAAGCGACTGTGTACACCAGAATGCTGGTCTTACACTGAAGTTTCAAGAGTATTTATTTACACTTTGCATTGAGGAAAACTGCTTTTCTGATTTATGGTTGGTTGTAACAACAGTTGAAGCGTAAGTGCATAAAATAGTCTCATATTTTTTCTAAACATCTAAAATGTGTAATAGAAAAGAATCTTTAAGTTGCTATTGGTAGTCAACACACCACTCAGTGGGACATAGCCTATAAGTGATATACATTTGGCACAATATGCTTGTTTTACTCATTCATGTGAACTGTTTCCACTGTGATTCAGGCAGGAATAGAAAAGCCTGCTCTAGAACAAGATCCTCTAACTCAGCTGTGCTTGACGGAGATAATGTGAGGGGCGCTAATGCCAAGTGTCCTGTTTATGCTTTTCATCTCTATAACACAGGGCATTTTCAGATCTTTATGTGTACATATACACACATATATAGAATGGATATTAAATTGTAGAAGAAATTTGTGAGCACTATTATGGAACAAAGTCAGACAACAGGAAACAAAACTACCCAGGAATTTGCTAAAAGCTATATTAGAGAAAAAAAGCGCACTTCATTTTGGCATTCACATCCTGATACAAAGCAGTAATATACCCCCATTTCTCCTCTGGTGATCAGGCTATCACACAGAGTTCTGGCATCCCAGCATCAAACAGAAACAGATTATGGAAAATTAAAAGACAAAAAGTACAAATCTTAAGGAGTAAACAGTGAAGATTAAAACAAAAAATAATATTCCCAACTATTTTGGAAACTAATTATCAAAATATTTCAACAACAAAAAGAAATTTTTTTAAATAACAAAGACTTACAAAGAGAAGTATTCATATGAAAATGAGCAGGAAAGAATTAAAAGATACTAGCATGAAGAAATTCAACATTCTGGAAGTCGAGATTTTAGAAAAAAAGTAGCCCAGACAACACACTTCCGAATACAATGATCTCTCCAATCATGCCCCCAAGAGCCATCTAATAAATATGACCTTTAATTTGCTTTTGTTTTCAGTTGAAGTTTAATCTGCAAGGCTCAAACTAGAAACAGTGGCTAGAAATAGATGCTTAAAACTTTCGGTATGCCCTGCATCTGTTCAGAAAGCAGTGGGAACCTACCATATACATATCCATAAAGCAAAGCACTTGCAAACACACAATGGACAAGTTTAACTTTCTTTCAAGTAACAAAAAGGAAAGGAAAACAAACCTCTGTAATACCCTCTGCAGGACTGCAGCCCTCCTTGTCTGTTCTTAGGCAACAGAAAAGAGTAGTTAAACAGGCACCATATAATATGATGGATTCTTATCCTTAACAAACAATAAATTGCTTGCACTTACGCAAGATCAGTTGAGTGAAGACTGAAAAACAAAGACCAAAGTGCAACATCAAATTTATGTTCAATAAAGAGATTGAAATGCTAAGGATTATACCTTTGTGCAACAAAGACTTTAGATGGGGGCAGGTGGAGAAACACATTAAAACAGTACACAGGCTGCTACTCCATATGTGTTTGCAGGACTACAATAAATGATTTTAATCTATGAAACATCTGGGGCTAAAAATCCAATTTGTATCCTTTTTTTTTAATGGAATGGTTTTAAAGTGCCTAGCATAACTCTTACAGTATAAATCTGCACAAAACTAACAGCACATGTCTATCCTTTAGGCTTTTTCTAGTAGTATAAAATATGCAAAATCCTACCAGGCCATATTGCCATGGGCTGTGTTGTCAAGGTGACAGAGTAGCTCCAGGGTTTGAGTGTTGCTCGATGAATCATCAGGGGATTCATGACTGCCTGATTCCAATTCCTTCGGCATCCTCCAAACAGCAGCACATGTCATGACTTTACTGTCTGAAGCTAAGCAACAGAGAATAATGTCAACAGATCATTGTATGGGAGACGTATTTTGTATACAGTGCATCAACATTTACACAAATCTATAAGCAATGCACATCTGCTGTTTAACACAGTTAAAAGTATTATACCTAGATGAATTCAAAGAATGTAAAATGTGGATAAGGATACAGACCTCAGGTTAGCAGTCAAGCCACTGCAAAACTCATAATTAGAACACATTTAGTATGCTTTCCCTGTTTAAAGGCAAAATTCAGTGCTCATGAAAATGTAATTTTTTGGGAGGCAACTTTTCCAAGCTTCATTCTACACATTGATGTTAATGAAAATGACTAACAAGTTTCATTTCTTGAGTTGTTCACAATAAGTATTTAGACGTCATTTTCATGTTTTCCTTTTCAGGGCTATCTTCAGCTGAATCTACAGCATTATGTCACATCCTTTACTATCAATAACTGTTTAGTGATATTGCCTGTTTTCCATGTAAGTACACATCTCTAATTCTAGCAAATAAAAGCAGCTTTCAAAAGAAAAACTGAACTTCCACACATATAGCAAATTTTACAATCTACGATGAGAATGCCAGCTGTAGATTGAGAAGCAAATACCATATGGTCTACGCACATATGGCATTGCCCATCACCCAGTATAGCCATTTGTAGCAGTGCAAAATGGGAGGATACCAGAGCAGCACTGCATATGCTCATGTTGTTCCAGCCTCTGGTCCAGGGTCTGCAGAAGACGAATAGATAGTACTATCCACTACAGCAGGAACAAAGAAACCAGCCACAGCTACGTTAAGCAAAAGCACCGGGAGCGACTACCTGCTGGAGGATGTGTTAAACATGAAGTCCAGAGGCTAAGCAGCAAAGAACGGCATGTTTTCTGTTCTTAGGTCATTTTGCATGCCTTTCTCTCACAGCTCTGTCTCCAAGTACATTTTAGCTGACTTTAGTGCCGAGTACCTGATTACAGAGCCATAAGCAGACGTGATCAACTTACAACAGTTGAAACAAAACCAGGAACAATTTTAATGAGAGTAGTTTTAAGAGAAGGACTGCAACTCTGAAAAAGGCCTTCTTCGGCTAAAATTATACTAACAGGGCTAAAAACGTCTTTACCATAAAGGTTGCAAATCTGGGTATTCTATATGGAAAAAAATAAAAAGCAACCAAATGATAAAGAATAGGATAAAAAGCAACTGATGGGTAGTAAATAACCCCCAAATGCAAGAATGCACATGTTTAAAGAGTAGCCAAATGAAATAAAAATCATAAGTTTCTATGTCAAGCCAGTAAGAGAAAAAGGCCACTTCTGTGAGAAGGAAACAGGGGTAGGAGGTGGACTTTAAATTCAAGCACGGAATTCAGAACACACAAGCACTAGGTATTTGATAGACTGTACTAAATATAAAATATAGGTATGATGCACATAACTGTAATTTGGCATATACAACTTGACTACAGTTATCGGGAGACCATGCATCTAAAGATGCTGGACAGTCCCTTACTTCTTAATATTACCTGAACTTTGACTAATTGTAGCACATACTAACTAAACAGCTATTTCCAAGTCATTTGAGGCAAATCCTTTATGTAAAATCCATGTGCCACTGAATAAAGAGGAAGAAGCAACAACAAATGGCTGCCTTTAGCGAAGGGCAAAGCAACATGCATTATATACCATACAAATAATAAATAAACTAAACTGAGAGTGCAATATAGTTAAAGAAGCTAAGATCTATCCACTGTTCTGCCTCAATACTCGGTATGTGATAGAACATTAAAGAAGACCACAGAGAAGTTTCTAGTAGATTATGATTGCCATAAGGTCTGTACCATACATACAAAGCATTAGCTTTTCTACTAATAACAAGATCTGTGTGGAGAACCACAAAAACAAGTAGTAGAAAACAAATTACATGTTTCTCAAGCCATCCTTCCTCTTAGCACAACACCACAAGTCTTAAGACAGCTTGGAGATGTCATGAAGAAGTTCAGTGGTCAGGAAGCTGAGATTTTAGAATAAGTAGCCCACACAAGACACTTCTGAATACACCGATACATGTAATCTTGTCCATGAATTGCCTAATAAGTATGACCTCCTGTTTACTTTCTTTTTAGTTGAAATTTAATCTACAAGGCTCAAACTAGAAATCAGTAACTAGAAATAGATGCTTAAAACTTACAGTACAATGCATGACAATTTAAAAAATCAACTGAATTAACTATTACTTGTAAAGTCTACTTTTTCATTTACTAGCTAGCTAATGAATAGAAATTTTCATGCAGACATTTAAAAAAAACTGAGACTGATTTTAAATTATATCAAAAGGGAACAATACTTAAAGTTACTCTTACTAGATTATATTTAAGTATAATGAGATTATGATGGATACCTTACACAGCAGGTATCTGAACACAAACCAAAGAGACCCTTTCCACTCTTACGTGAGACACAGCAATATCCAACACTAATGTTGCATTATCTTTGTTCAGATTCACTTCTGAGTTGTCACATTTCTGATGTGTTATTCTATGTTTTTTGGTTTGGAGTTTGTTTTTTTTCCCCCTTAAAATTCTCTGGTAATTGTGAAACGGACAGTACAACTTTCATGATCACTTCCCACTCCATATTCTGTTAGACCAACATTCCTTGGACTACAGCAGTTCATATCCATATGGTTTCAACTTTTCCTGACAGTGGAGGATGTTCACATCCTCCCAAAATTATATCAAACACTGTAGTTGCTAAAATATGACTGAACGTATGAACATTTGGTTGTCCTGCGTCTGTTCAGAAAGCAGTGGGAACCTATCATATACATATCCATAAAGCAAAGCACTTGCAAACACACAATGGACAAGTTTAACTTTCTTTCAAGTAACAAAAAGGAAAGGAAAACAAACCTCTGTAATACCCTCTGCAGGACTGCAGCTCTCCTTGTCTGTTCTTAGGCAACAGAAAAGAGTAGTTAAACAGGCACCATATAATATGATGGATTCTTATCCTTAACAAACAATAAATTGCTTGCACTTACGCAAGATCAGTTGAGTGAAGACTGAAAAACAAAGACCAAAGTGCAACATCAAAATTACGTTCAATAAAGAGACTGAAATGCTAAGGATTATACCTTTGTGCAACAAAGACTTTAGATGGGGGCAGGTGGAGAAAAACCCATGCTCAAGACATCTTTTCTCTCAGCATAGAACCACAAGTCTTAATACTGCTTGGAAAAGCCATTTTAACTTTGTAGAACTTCAACATTTTGAAATTCCGATGGTGTGTTTCTATGAAGTAACTTTTTAAAAATGTTCAGTTTCTTGCAAAATCAGATTTCCAGATTGAAAACCCTAAAACAACTAAACAAGCACTGGCTAGAAGACTGAGCAAGGCCAAAGGAAAAAAAAAAAAATCAAAAGAATTATAGAATGGTTTGGGTTCAAAGAGACATGAAAACCATCTAGTTCAAATCCCCCTACGACAGGCAGGGACAACTTCCACTAGACCACTTCCCTCTTCCCTTCAGGGGTTTACCCCATGGTACTTTACCAAGCAGATGCCTAAACAACCCAAAGTCTGCTCTCCTTAAGTCCAGGGCAGTAAGGTTGCTGTGCACTCTCCTCACCGCCCTAAGGATCTGGAACATCACAATTTCATGGTCACTGCAGCCTTGGCTGCAAAGTGAAGCTTTGCAATGTGAACCTTTGAGGATCCAGTGAAGAGAGGTGCTATTCTCACCAGCAAGGAGGGGCTGGTGGGGAATGTGAATGAAGCTCAATCACTTGAAGGAAGTTATCATCCACGCACTCCTGGAACCTCCTGTATAGCTTACACCCTGCTGTGTTGTTTCTCCAACAGATACCGGGATGGTTGATCCTGAGCCATAAACTCTTGGTCAGCTCCTCATCCGTCCCCAGACAGAGCTTCATGCAATCCAGCTTGTCACTGGAGGGTGACACCCCATCCTTATCTCACCTGTGTTCCTTCCTGAAAAGCCTGCATCCTTCCATTCCAACACTCCAGTCACCAACACTCCAGTCATCATATCTCCATGATGCCAGCAAGATTATAGCCTTTTTATATCATGTACACATATTGAAATCCCCCTGAAACTTGATGTCACTGAGGCTCCTATAATTCTTTGGCATTTTGAAAATCGTTAGAAGCCAGCAATGAAATGAATCTGCTTGAATTTTTAATGTGAAAAGAAATTCTACATAGGTTCTGTGTTTGTTTTCAAATTATTGCTACAGATGTTGCTATGGAGCAAGATTGAAATGTACCTTGATACTCCAGGCAGAAGGTATTTGTTACAGTAGTGAAAACAAGTTATCAGTTTTCCAGATTTTGCAGGCCTATCTATGCTATTCCTTGGAGCCCAGCATATTGTGTCCTCTCTGCAAAGCTGTTCAGCTGCCCTGATATGATCTGTATCTGATGCCATTTGCTCTTTGAGAACGCAAGAGAAGCTTATCATTTTGAAATGTAATTTGACCACACTAGATTTCTGTATTAATGGTTGTTATTATGTAGTATGGTAGGCAATTACTTTTATATTAAGTTTTTATCATTAAAAAGATTGCTGTAAGTCTTCTATATTAGCACATACCTTGAAAATACAACTCTAAAATTAAGGATGCCTATCAAACTTACTAGGGATCCCAACAGCACAATAATCATTCTTTCTTTCTCAAATTGTGGAATTAGTTATTTTCTTCAGTCCACACTTAACAGATACAGAAATTAAAAAGTACCTATTTTTAATTGAGAAATGCTCAGTGAGATCTGAAGTACAGGTGGGCACAGAATTTCACAAGCAGAATTTTGTTCCATTCCATGCCTGTTTCACTTCATCAAGACTAGTGGTGAAGGATAAAATTCACTGTGTATCAGAAATGGACAACACTAAAAGCCAACACATGCAACTCCTTAACACTCAGCACAGACATTATTCTCTGCTTTCAGCTGGTTTTGAAGATGCTCACAGAAAATGACAGACTGCTTTCCAGCAGCTGAATGACCATCTATCATGAACAACTGTATGTTCTCACAAATCTTCAGATTCTAATTTTAACTTTTGGATGAATTACGGAATTAGATACATAGCTAAAATCTGCAGAGCAGATTTGATTCAGAACACTATTAATGTCTCCTTTCACTTTTTATGTACTTATCTAAAGTTCTGACACTTTATTAATTCCCAGATGTGTGAAACCAAAGTGGAATTGCCGTGGCCTCCTACAGAAGTAATTTTAGATATGGCTAGCCTTAAGGAAGTCTTAATTTCCTTTTATATAAGGATTTTTTTTAAAGATACCATTTTCTCCCTGGTAAAAGAGAAGACAAATGCTATTGCTGAGTGAATGTGTAACTCTTATGACAGATGACGTGGAGCCTTCCTGTGTGTCACAATTCCTCTTAAATAACCACTGACAACAAATCTACATGCATCCACAGACACAAGATAACTCTCATTGCATAGAAATCCAAGTCCCACAGCGGCTGCTCATGGCTGTATGACAAGCTTGCTAGCAGTGTATGGTATTGCTGGAGTTACTTGTACAGCCTTATTTCCCTAGTGATATTAGAATTCTAAAATCCAGCATTACTAATTTCACTAAAACCACTGCAGTACCGCTGCTTACCTAGAATACCTACAAGGAAAGAGACACTCCAGATTTTCCCGTCTTTTACTATCTTCTCATCACCCTACTGCACCTATACATACAAAATCATGTGGCAGATGTAGAGAGCTAGATGTACTACTCCAAGTGCAACAACCCCTTTTAAGCACTGTTTCCCAAGTTTATCAATACTATCTCCTGGGTAGAGAATACCATTTGCTCGAATGATTGTACAGGTTTACAAACAAGCAAACCAGAGTTCAATAAGCAAATAACCTCACATTTTAACAGCACAAATTTAGGAAGGAACTACACATGATGCTGGCAGCAGTGAGGGTGCAGTAATCAACTACACGAAACAAACTTTGGTGAGTTCAGACAAAGCTAAGAGAAAGAACCACAGCTACAGAGGACAACACTGTCTTAGGATGCCTACTTCACAAGATGAGCAAGTGAGAAAACTCTTTGCATGCAGAGCATGCAATTTGCAAAGGGTCAAAACTTGGTCAAATCAATACCAATTTTCACTGCAGCACTCAAAAGGACTTTGCAATGAGGGCTATTTCCATGACAATTTTCAGCTTTCTACTACCAGCTGTTCGAACACTGAAAAAAAAGTAAAAGTTGCAGACAGGTGAAGCACCCCGTTTATCATCCTCCACACACTGTACCCCTTGGAGAGCTGCTCCAACTTAATCACCTCTGAGAAAGGAATAAGCCTGGGGAAAAAAAAGCCCTGCTCAAAAAGTAAACATAACAGAAAGTTAACTAATGAGAATTTTAAAAGAAATGCATATAACATGAACTACAAGAACTCGTTACTCCTTTATAGAGTTACGCCACGTACAACAGATGAGTTCACATTTACTGTTGCGGCTGGAATACAGTAGCCGGCACACATTCCTTAACAACTATACAATCATTTTGGGATTAGGTGCAGAAAAAAAAATGTGTCTATAAAAACATAGACTGCTGATTCCAGATGGAATGCATCTGCTCAGGACAAAAAAAAAAAAAAAAATCACTCCTGACCTTCTGGTAAGTTATTTTTTGTTTGTTTATGAATTTGCAGATTTTTAAGGCAGAAGAGATTGTCCATGCACTTCACACAACCCTTGATTTTGCTTCAGCAATTCGTACAGTTAAAGACATAATGACAGAAGTGAGGTCCATGACATTTCCAGGTTTAGGAAGAAGGACCTAAACTTTTAAGTCATTCAGAATTATTGCAAACATTCCTTAAGAAAATGCCACGGACTGCAAAATTACAAAGAACACAACTGAACAATCATACTCATACAAAAGCCTTGAGTGATACTTATTAAAGAAAATAAACTGTAACAGCTTTAAAAAGGATATTACATGCAACCCCAATAAACACACTAAGAAACCAACTGAAATCTGGAAAACTGATGCAATAAGTTAGAACAGATGCACAAGAAAGATGCAGTCTAGTTTGTCACTGTAGAGACTAAGTGACTTAGACCTCTATTTAGTTTTATATTCTTGAGAACAAAAAGCCATACTTGCCATGGTGGAGCTGTAGGTGATTTTCTAATTGAAAAGAACCAGATAATTTCATTGTTTTTTTTTATACTGACTCCCTTTAAGAAAATTCTCCCTCCCCAAATATGGGGTTTTTTTAAGGAAGATACAGAAATAAATTATCCTACTTAACAGCTTGATGGTTTGAGTTTTAACATACACAAAAGAAACAAAGGCAAAAAACCCCACCTGAAAGTGGAGACATGTATTACTAAAATATTAAATGGAAAACAAAAAGATATGTATGGAATAAAAAAAACAAATCATAACGGGAAGTACGGATGCTAATCAATACTCTGCAGTTTCAACAAACAAAAGGTCTGAGTACACACAGAAACCCACTCATCAGCACCATTTGCCTTCCTCTTTCAGGTGTGGATTGAGGCACACCCAGAAACTGGTAAAGTCAGTAAGTGCTATCACTTATCCATGTTCTGCTTGCTACCAGTTTATGCACTGTCATAATTTCTCCAAAAGTGAAGTTAGTATCTTCTACAGGCAGCAAACAGACATGTTAGAAAAAATAAAGGAGAAACTTCCTTAAGATGAGTGATTAAAGACAAGTCAATCACTATTATTTGATAACAAAATTTAAAACAAGATTTTAAGATAACCCTCCTCTTAAGCAAAGTTTTGAGTAGGTGTTGCCATAAAAAGAAAAATGTAAGAATAGCGTTAAATGGACACAGAAGAAATACTACAACCTGCTTCTCCCACCCCCCATGCAACAGACTGAAGTGGATTTTGATCCCAATTAAACAGGTCCACATCAGCCAGCATTACAGCTCACTGCTGTTCAATCATCCACCTTTCATTCTTCTGGTGCCACTTGCTGAATAAAACGTATCACGCCACTGAAGCATGCTTTGACATATAGAACAACAGCAGTCTTGTCCTGTCAGAAGCTTACAGCAGTCACCCAAAGCAGACCAGATCCTGCTCTGCCCAGCACTCCCTAATTATAGAATTTTATAAAGCATTCCAATTGTTGTGTTCAATCATTATGATCTTTCTGAACTAAACACGTGATAAATAAACCTTGATCCTTTTTCCTCCTCCCAAAATTCCAGCTATTGCTAGTCTCCTATTTGCTTTTTGAATAATTTCTAAACACATTTTGTATGTACATTTGGAATTCAGTATTTTGAAATTTATTTTCTTAAATCAATAGCTATACACATCATATGGTAGTATCTACAGGAACCATGTTTTCATTTTACTTTCTGCTGTCATTCTACTTCATTCCCCTGTGTTTAACCTTGAAACCTGAATGACAATGCTTCCTACATCACTGCCTGCAGACATTCACACCAAAGCTGGAGGAGCTGAAGTATCAGTGCCTGACAGGTTTTGCTCTTTGATCAGCTCAGGTGGTGCAAAGCCAGCTGGCTGCAGCTATTCTGTTGCCCAGGGAACAACAACTGAAGTGTATACTTCCTAAATCTGCACAGGAGGCCATTCTGCAACACTGCCATAGCAGCTCTTGCTGTGCAAGGCTGAAGTGGTGAAGCTGCTATAGCTACAGCCCAGCTGGTGCCCATTAATGCTCTCTGTATGACAGGAACAAGCAGCTAGTGTTCAGAAGCCTCTTTCTTTCCATTGACAGACTTATCACTCTTCCTTATTAATCAATGTAAACATCCTCTCCTGGTTTAATAAAATGAAAAAATAAAACCCAAATGATTCAAGAGTGCATCTTTTATCTTTTTAAAAAGTAACAACCTTGTAGCCTTTTTAGTCAATTCATAAAAAGACAAACCATATTCTACTTAATTGACAACGTGTCCTTCACAGAAAAAGAGGGGGGGAAGGAGGGAGAATAACACACCATTCTTTTTTTGGGTTAAGAATTTCATTGTTTGTACTAAATGCTTCTGAAGTCTTTGATTTAAAATTTTTCTGAAATACATGGGGTGAGATATATGTAGGAATAAAGAGATGGAGGTAGTTTAATTTTTCTTTCCATCACTTAGATGCACATTTTAGCTACCAAAAGACAGCCTTTGATTTTTAAAGAATACAAACATGGAAACAGGGCAGAACATAACACAGCAGCTCACACTGTACCCTAATAGAAGTACGTTTGCAAGTAGAGCTGCAAGTAGAAATAATTATTAGAAAAACTGTAACATGCAACAGTGCAGATATTCATACACAAGACATCTGCCATACTTTGCTGCTGTCCTGTTATTCCAACCTGTGGAAAGCACTGTGTAAATGGCAGTCTTCTCGTTACCATGCAGATCACAGGTTCACATTTACTGCGTATCAGTACACCACAGAGAGCAGCTTAGGTCTCTAGACTACAGGCTCCCATGTTTGCATTGTGTGAACAGATGTCTTAAGGATGTTTTAAAAACCTCATATACTGGACAGTAACACAGAGAGAATGATCTAAGAGTGTGCAAAGGTGTGGGGTATGACGCGGAGAGACAGGTAAACCCATCATGTTTTACAGAAACAACAAACAGAACCCACAGAGAGCAGGCAGTCAGCAGGCTGAAATATTGGAGCAGGCATAAATTACTATTTTTTATTTTTTTTTTTCAGCCTGATGTCTCTTACACTATCCAGAGGTGACCTGAGACAATGTTCCAGCACATACCTTTTTTGGGGGGTTTGCTCTGCAGATATACAGCTATTTGAGGGAGCTCAAAATTTACTTACTGCATTTCTGGAACTCTGCCATATGAAGACAGCCTGAGTGAAGAACTGCAGTCATCGCTATATTGATGAACTGAACTTTGCTCTTCAGGCAGAATCTGGCTGCAACCCTGTAAAAGCTGCTCAGCAGCACAAATAGGCATGCTTTCTTTCTGACACTTCACATGACCAAATCTCGTAAGTCACAACGGCTTGTTTGATACCTCTGATATATCTCTCTAGATATTTTAACGACATAGGAAAGAACAGAGAAACTAGGACTCACTACACGCTTTCCTTCGTTTGTGATAATCTTCCTGCTATTGTCACCACCAGCACACTGTATCTGCAAGAGTGGGAGCCATAAAATCAGCTAGGTATCAGCTGGTCATATAAAAAGTATTGTGAAATTTAACCCTGTGCTGAAGAGAGATGCACAATACACCAATAAAAGTTAATGAACCATATTTACATGCTAGCTTCCATCATCACTAAGGCCAGCGAACCTGAACACCATTATCAGTGTTGGAGAATAAACAAGATATGTTACAGATATGCATACACCTGCAGAGCTACAATCTAATTGGCATCACACATGTGGTGGGATGGCCTCTGTGACTGGAGTGTGGGAATGGAAGGATACAGGCTCTTCAGAAAGGACATGCAGGGGGAGAAGAGGATGGGGATACCACTCTATGTTCATGACCAGCTGGAGTGCATAGAGCTCTGCTTAGGGATGGATGAGGAGCTGACCAAGAGCTTACGGGTCAGGATTAAAAGGGAGGGCAGGGATATGTGACATTATAGTGGGGGTCTGGTAAAAGCCACCTGACCTGGAAAACGGGGTGGATGAGGCCCTCTATATAAACAGGAATGGCCTCATGTTCAAAAGCCCTGGTCCTCATGAGGGCTGTAGCACCTCTCCTATGAACACAGGCTGAGAGAGTTCGGCTTCTTCGGTCTGAAGAAAAAAAGAGGAGACCTTCTAGCAGCCTTCCAGTACCTAAAGGGGGCC